GGGACCATGGCGGTGCTGCTGGTGCAGTTTCTGCCGAGCGGCGTGCAGCTGGAAGGAGAGGTAGGCCGCGGCCTCCGTCTGTTTCTGGAGCTCGGTGTTCAGCACGGTGATCCTATGGCTCCTGTGCTTCAGCTCCTCCAGGAAGCGTCGCTCCTTGTCTTTCAGGCTGGCCCGCAGCGCCTCCACCAGCGCCCCCTTGTGGCTCAGTTCCTTGCGCAGCTCCCCCAAGCTGTGCTGCTGCTCATTGAGACGGATCTCCGCCTGCCGGCATCTCTCCATCAACAGCTCCTCTTCCTCCTCCAAGTCTGTAAGAGGAAGACGAGACCGTACTGGTATCAGCCTGGGCTGCTACATAGATCTGATTATTACAGTCCACCCCCCCCCACTGGGACTTATACAGGAGTCTGCTGCTCCCCTGACAGCTCCCACACTTTTGCACATCTCTAACAGCTCAGCAGTCACTCCACACATTCAGTTGTCTTTTTCTCCAAAAAGACAGCCGATCTTTATCTGCATTCTCTGCAATTTCTTTACCCAGCAAATATCGGGTAACGTGAATCTAATCTTCAGATCTGTGGAAAAAAAAGCCTGCTTCAACAACTTTAAAGTGGTGCATGCATTTATTTCCACACCTGAGTCTTGGGCTAAGAATCTACGGCTGATGATCAGGAGAGCTCAGAGGCCGGACAGCGGACCAGGCGGCTCAGACAGATTGCAGACAGAGATTAAAAAGCCCAGCACAGTTCCTCCAATCCCAGCACTGGGACAGCTGCTGTAAGACCAATGGAATGTACCCTCACTATGGGAATGGCTCTGATCACACTGTGATCTGTGAGGCTATTTAGATTATATCCCCGTATTTTATTCATTCACAACTTGCATTTATTTAGCACTCTTCAACCCCAAGAAACAAGCACTCCAACTCTGAAGTGCAGCACCCAGCCTGGTGATGTGCAACAGTTATTCTGCTCCAGCAGATCCGGTGGAAAAGTGAGAGATGCAATCATCAATTGATCTTTAATAAACGAGACGCCAGGACTACAGTGTAACGGCTCATCCAGAGGACGGCACGACTGCACTGTGGCGTCACTGTCTTGGAGGAAATCAAAGCCATCGATTGCCAGACAATGGCAGGCAGGTCCAGCAGCAAGGGATGTCCAGTCGCAAGCCCTGCAGCTAAAAGAGCTCATTTCACCTGTATATTTCCTTTCCCCGCAGGTGCATCGTGAATATAATGATCAAAACGACTGGTTTCCTCTTACAGACAGATGCTCCCTGTGTCCCAGGAACCACACCCTCTCTGTCCATTTCATACCCTCTGATCAGCCCTGGGTGAGATCATCTGTTAAAAATAGAAGGCACTGTGCAATCTGACCTTCAGCACTCTCTCTCTCTCCCTCTGCTGACTACAAACACGCCGCAATTCAACCCCCCTCTGGAGCAGGAGAGGTGAGTGTGAGACACAGAGGAACAAAGAGGGAAAGATCAATTGCTGGGGTAGGAGAGGCCTGTGCAGGGACAGAAACGCAGGACGTCTTCAGCCAGCATCTCTTCTCTTCTCTCTCTCCTGCCTGCTACACTCTCTCCCCAGCTCCCTGTGTGCCAGTAATGAAGAGCCAGAAAGCACAATTAAGGTCAGATTTTCATTAACTACCAGTTTAAACAGAGGAACGTGCCCTCTGCTGACACCTCGAGAGCATAAGAAAGGCAGAAGTTTTCCAACGTTGCTCCACTGTACGTGGAAAGCATCTTAATACAGACATGTATAACTGATACGATACGTTAATAGATAGGATTCCTTATTAAAGATTAGCACAGTCGATCTGTATGCTTCTCCCCCATTTGCAGTCTGCAGATGCTTTGCTCCAGTGTGGTTCTCATTGTATAGTCTGCATCCTACTGCATACTTTACCGGGATTTCCCTTTAACACTCTGCACTCTGCAGTGCCCTTATCAGGGTACACGATGGGAGGTATTGTTTTATTAGGGGATATACAGCAGCACCCCAGCATCTTATTTTTCAAAGGCTGACCACGTCAGGGGCCTGGGCGCCCTGAACAGACCGAACTTCGAAAAGACCCCAGGCCCTGCAACTTCTTTGCTCAGCGTTTAAATATTAATGCTTCTCATCCGCACCCTACTGCAAAAGAAGGGGGTGAACTCCGGAGAGAAAGCAGGCGCTCCCTGGCTTGTGGATGAGAGACTGACCCTCTGAGGGATCTCCCACGGATCTCAGAGAGGATGACAGGAAGACTAGGGCTCTGTGCAATCATTAGACAGAGGCCCCTGAGGAAAAGGAGAGACCACTCATAATGGGGCTATATGCAGTCAGCAGCATCTCCTTTAATCCTCTTTTCCATGATATGATCCCTTGGCCAGCACCTCCATGGACACTCAAAACAGCTGTGCAGTCGATACTAAGTATTATGTTGATAATGTCACATGGCTCGTCTGACACACCATTGCTCTGTGATCTAAAGCAGCGCTGTCCAACGTTTCTCAAGCCGTGGGCCACTGAAAAAATGTTCACGAGCCCAAGGACCGCACTGCCCATCTAACCCAGTTTGGTTCAGCACAGCCCACTGTGAGCTACAGGGTGTGTTGTAAGACAACCCTCTGAAGTCTGGAGAATGTCCTGTTTAACACCACAGACTTGAAATTAAGGCTGATCATTTCTTTGGCTTTTAAAAAATAAATTCCCTGGAATTCTTGAATGATTGATTTTGATATGTATATTATTTCAATTAGGATTCATTGTGAGCCAGGACTCTCAATCCTGGTCTCTCATTTCCAGTGCTATGGGAGCTGTGAGGCTGGCTGATGTTTCAGAACTATTAAACCATGATATGCATGATCAGATAGCATGATCAGATATGCATGATCACAGTACTGTTGTATGAGATACCCAGCCCCACTGCTGTTCTAGTTACAAATACGCTTAGATTTGATGGATGGCGGTAATGCAGTTTTCTTTTCATGCCACAGCTGATGCATGGGATGGGTCTGAACGTAAACAGAAAGGAAAGCAACTGAAATACTTGTAAGTTCAGCATTTTCCAAACAAACAACTGTGCTTTCATCCCTGAAATGATCTCCTTGGGGGTTTTAGTAAAACAACGACCCAACAGTTCTTGGATGGGGAATTTTGTTTTCCAAAAACAGCTGCATAAATGAAAGAACACAAGAACAACGTTCCTGGTACACGGGCGTAGGAGGAGCAATGTGTGGCTACAGCATTACCTGCTTGAGTTCTTCCAGGAGGCTTCACATTCACTTCACAGGTCAGCTCTAGGGATCAAGCAAACATGACAAGAAAATGATCAAGATCCAAGGCAGACTACTTCTGTCTCCGCAAACGTCTGTATCTAACTGAATGCTTTCTCGGTCTTGCTTTTTAGCTGCAGCCTGCATCACGCTCATTTTGCTGTTTCTCTCTCACTCACTGCATGCTGTCGTTGTTCTGTTTCTCTCATCCTAATTAGATATTTAAACCAGCACGCTAACCATTAGGATAATGGAGGAGGCACAGACTGAAGCCTGTGTGAACTGTTATACTTCAGTATGTTGTTTCTTCTCAAATGCAGGGTGATAATATGGCTGCTTGTTCAGTGAAACAGGATTTGAAAACTGCCCTTAGTTTGCAAATTCAGCTTTTCATATTTACCCAGATGAAAAACGGTGCTTATCTGTATGCAATAAACATGTAAAAGTGATCAGCCCATGTTTTCACATGAAACCTAATGTGGAATGATGCTTTTTAAGCAAATCAGTAGCATTGCTCATTTGTTCACATGGCGTGATCATGGTCAGAAATATTGAACAGCTGATAAACAATCCAGGTTAACTAAAATCAAAAGTGTTTCGATGAACACAAAGTCAAATGGTCACCCGACTCATTCTCATTGCGAAAGTTCAGATACTGTACATTGCTGAAAGAATACAATCACAATGTAAGCAGAAATATGAACAACAACACATGCACAGTGCAGTAAATGTGCCTGCATAAAGCACAAGGAGCCTATAGTGACATAAGAGCTCACTTGCTCCTATCTGGGATATGCCATTACTCAGCTGTAGCAGTGATGTAGTATAGGCTAGCAGTCCTAGGAAGGCTGGGTGGGTTGGAGCTGACAAGTTATTTTGGGCTCTTTCACTCAACAGCTTACTGGGCACTTGTGCAGACTTATTAAATCCAGTATTCTTCCCCATCCTTGCAAATTTATGAAGACTAAGCGTGTAAAAGAAAATAGACATTGTGCTGTTGATCAGTACTAATTGTAGCTAAACATCTCTTTAAAGTATTGGGTGATAAACATTCTGTTTATTTTACTACGTTTAACCCAACACAGGCAAATTCAATTATAAAAACACCCTGATACAATCCTTCAGCACAGTTTAATGCAATTTGCCCCTTTAATCAAATGAATACTTTCAGATCTGTGGCTCACAGCTGACACTGTTTCCATGATGCTCCAGCAGGCAGGTTTGGAAAAGGTTTGCTTCTGATTGTGCTCTGCTCAAATTAGTCTTCATCGACAAAAACACAACCGCCCCACATACCTTTCTCGTTCTCTACTGCACCAGCTCAGCAGATTTTTAAAGATAAGTCCAATTAATGACCAGCATACCAAATGACTTGAAAATAAAAAAAAAATCTCTGACTGCCAGTAAATTATTGACCCACCACGTTCTTTCAGGAATCCCTGTAACGATCTGTGAATTTAAAGCACACTGCAAGCTGGAGGCCAGCACAGAACAGGCAGTGCTTTCAGAATCCAGGTATCGAAAACTCTGTTAGATGAGGATGCACATTACAAACTTCTCTCCAAATTCAAGAGAACAGATTTCAAAAACTTCAACACTTCCACACAAATTTAAATTCCAATAAAAAAAAATGGTCTTTTTTTCCAAACTTGGCGCGGTCAGCTCACAGCAATTCAAAGGGTCATCATCTAGTTCCATTTTCCCCCAGACTGTGCGTTATATTTGGAAGGAATCTCACTGATACCTCACTGCAGGAGGTTTGATTTAGAATCGCCAATTATTGTAAACCCCCCAGGTTTAGAACAGCCTGCAGCCCGGAACCCAGTGACATCACACAGGGAAGAATGAGGAAGTGTAGGCAGACTCCTCTGCCCGGTGCTCCTCTTGGCACATGTCCGGCATCACAGCTCCATACCCAGAGGCTCAGCTCCAGTCGCACCTGGGAACCTGCATGGGGTGCCGTGTTCCTGACAGCTGGGTGAATCCTGGCTGACCAATCCCACCCTCAGGGGTGCTCAGCCAACTGGGAACCCCAGTCACAGTAGGGTAGTGACATGACTCAGCCTCGGACCCATGAGCATAGAGCTCAGCCTGTGCTTGGGCCATCACCTTTGGGTTAAAACAGCTGCAGGCTCTCTCTCTGTGCCAGACTGAGCAGGGCCTGAGGACACAGGAGCCTGCTGGTCTCCAGTGCAGTGAAGGACAGCTTAGGCCTCCCTCCCAGTTTTCAGGGATGCTCCACCCAACCCCCTCGTGGTGTCATATCCCTGAGTCTGTGGATCCGTCTGTCAGACGGCTGCATTTCCACTCTCAGCAGCTGCCAGTCATGTATCTGGGCCCCACACAGCGTGTGGTGCTAACAGGACGCCCACTGGCCAATGGTACGAGGCTGCACAGTAAAAACCCTTTTATCTTGTCTGCACACTCTTTTCACATCAAATAAAATGCAGAGGCACACATCCCCAGATCACCGCCTCTCTGTACAGCCAGCTGGGCGCATAAATACCTCTCCACTGCAACCCCCACACGATGGTACTAATCTCTCATCAATATGGTGCTTTAATTCTGTTTGACGCAAGGCTTTGTCTTCAAGCAGCTCTGTGCCTACAAACTCCTCTCACTGTCACCAAAGGATTTCTCTGAGCTTTTGTCTGGATGGTGTGGGACAGCAAAGTGATGCGTTTATGCTACGGTGCACATTATTAATGAGGCATGCAATGAGGCAAACAGTATTCCGTGTGCGTGTAAGGTCCAGACTGCAGAGTCAATATTGTACTTTTAAAAGTACTGCAGAAGTTTCATGAATTGGAGCTACCTCAGCGGTCAGTTTTCCCAATATTCTGGGTTCGGTGGGGAATCAATGCATACATTCAAATTTCCATTCGTCTTTTATTTATTCTGAAAAAAAAAGGCAGTCACCAACCTGTACAGCGCTTCTGCAGAGACAGGATTTCCAGGTGCAGGCCGTGTAGCAGGGCCAGCTGCTCCTGCCTCAGAAAGACGATGTTCCTCTCCACACTCTCCACCTGGCGCGCCAGGGAGCTCGTCTCCATGGCAACTGGGGCTGGGCCTGTCGGGCTGGCAGAACCCAAGTGTCAGCGTCCGCCCTCACACGGGCTGGGCACAACGCAAGCCCTCCCACCCTCGTGAGGCGTCGATCCCTCGAGCGCCGCATCAGCCCAGAAAGTACAAGAAATCTGCCATTTAACCCTTCTCCACCGTCCCACATGTCCCAACCTGATCTAGCCCTCTCCCGAGATCATTAAACCTTCAAAGCAACTACTCCACTGGTCTGCTCATTGCCAGCAAACACATTACTAAGCTGTGACCTCAGATGCTGACGCAGGTCGGCCTGTTAAGCAGCAGCATGATTCTAGCCATTAAAAAAAAGCATTTAAAAATCCCATTTAATCTGATTTAATAGGGCTTTAAACCTTGAATTCTGATATCATCCTGGGAAGACGTCATTTCTAAACCACTTCTCCAAGCAGAGATTCTAATTAAGGCTTACTTCATTTTGTAAGTGAGTGGGATTTCTTATGAAGAACTTACATAACAAGTTGGTATCAATTTTCCACTTCACTGGGAAGTGGGTGCTAATTTCTGCTTTGCTTTGGTCATATCCTGCAGTGGCGCACTGAGGAGAACAGCATGGCTACACTCTCAAGAGCTCCTCAGTTCTTTCACCATTTTATTCACTCAGGCTCAATACAGTAAAAGCAAGAGTGCAAACTGTGGGTTCTTACCAGTACTGATGGGGGGAGCTATGTGTTGTACCCTTCAGACAAGCACTGAATTGGGGAGTCTAGACCTGGAGTCCCCACCCCTGCTGTGGGGGATCCCCACACAAGCTGACGTTCATTCCAGCTCTGCTCTCAGTGACACAATCGAACCTTAATTGACCCAATAACAGGCTTCATTTGAGCTCATCCATCGACACATCTTGGAGATCTACCCTATAGCTGTCCGAAGTAACATATGGTTTCCAGCTTCTGAGCAGAAAAAAACTAAATTTCAAAAAGTTCCCAACAAGCAACTCACTAGCTCAATTAAGGATTCAACTGAGTCAAGAGGACCCGAAAGAAACTGGACTGGTCTCGTCTGGACAGACAACCTCCCTGGACAGATAGGACCCCTAAATGAAATCTCAAAAATCAGTCCGCTCAGACAGACAAATAAAATATCTGCATTTGTTACTTCTTTCTGTGTCTGTGAGCCCCTACGGTATGCTTTGTGTTGTTCTCTTTTGTCTGTTGATTGTTTAAAATGTGTATTTTAAAGAATTGCGTTATAAAAATGTGCGTGATGATTATCATACACAATGTGTATGTGTTTTTTTACTTAGGGGCGGCTGTGATGCGATCAAAAGAAGCCCCGCAGAAGAAGTGCACTCGGATTCAATGGTCAGGCTCTGATGTTAATGTGATTTCTGGTGCGGCCAGTCGAATCCCAGTTAAGGACCTGTAGATTCACTCCAGCCTAACGCTGCGCCCCAGAATCCAACGAGCCCCTGCAAACAGTTAAGCAGCGGAGTGGAGGAGGGGCGGGACAGTCTACAGAGTATTCCTGCGCAGTTGAATAGCTCGGGTCCCTGAGGACTGGGCTGGAGACAACGAGATTCACAAGCGTAGTCTAACCCACCGGAGGACTTCCCTTAGCGACTGGAATGCAGTGGTACCGTTACCGGGTGTTTACCCGTGTAAGAACCGGTTGGCGTTGGTAGACTGGGTTCCATTACTTTGTTTTACTATATAGATTTCTGTAAAAAGAAATTTCTGTTTTTCAGGGAGAAACTCAAAGGTTAAGATACTGCTGCGCTTTTATGCATATTGGTTAACGTTTTCATTCACTGATCTTAAAGTAGCTGCTAAATTTCAAAGACAACACGAGACAACATTTTTCAGTGTTCAATTAAAGCAATCTAAAACAGTTTCGTGTTTCATCCTAGTTGTAAATGGTTCACTCTTGCGTTTTATTGTGAGAAACAACACAATCTGAATTGACTGCTGCTTTAAAATGAAGCGATCTTGACACTTAACCACAAATACAAACGCTCTCATCTTCTTGAATTCATGAGGGACTCGAGGTGGATAAAGTACGTTTTAAAATCATTGCAAGGTGAAAATGTGCATTTACACATTGTAGTTTCAGCACTCCAACTGCGATGATTATGTAAATGTTCTTTACAAGAACCCCATTAACTAAAAGTATGATAACTCATAAACAGTATTTTCCTCATTTGTAAACTCCGCGAATAATCAATTGTTTAATTGTTACCAAAGGTTTTACTGGCAAGCATACAGCTATGAAACAAACAGTAGTGACAACACTAGCTAAAAAATAAAACTACAGAAAGCCATTGCTAGTATGCGCAGTATTAAGCAGATTGCACTGCGACTCTTACCTTGCCAAAAACGAGAAGCGCAGATGTATTTCAGAACGTCAGGATGCTTGGCTTCAAAGATATATCCTTTTGCCCGAAGAGCACTGCGTTTTCCACTGTCTTCCCGGGCACCCAGAGAGTTCGAGGATATTTCGTTTAAAATAGGGGAACATTGCACGAATAGTTTATTTAAAAATAGCAGCAATACGGGAAGAGAAGAGAATTAGAAAGATCAATACCCCATCTCTCCGGAGTTCGTGTATTGCGCAACTTGCGCACTGTGCGAGGAAGCTAGCAGTGGTAAAATGTGGCAGTCGACACCTCCGGAATTGTTGCGTTAGTGAACATATTGCCCCTCGCGTCGTGTCGTATTTAGTCTTAAGCCTCCCCGAAGCGTTGTGCATTCGGCTGAAAATAAAATACAAAATGATCACGCTGTCCCTCGCCAGACTAAAACGACGAGTAAAAACATTCACCTTCCGACTCGGCAGATGAAGGATACTGTAGGCGTGGGATAAACACAGACCATCGTGACCGGAACAGGCGACATGATCACATCGGAGAAATGAAGCTGATTCGCAGAGCAGCTATTGCCCTCCCTATGAGTCCGGGGCGATGTCTACCCTGTCCCAATCAATCAATACACTACGAGGAACCCAATCGAAAGTCACTCCTGTCACCTTGCACTAGATGGGCGGTTGTGATAGAGGTTCTTGAACCAAATACCACTGACATGTGGGAGCTAACAGCGAGTGCAGGAGTATCTTGGTCTCCAGCCTCGTAACTCCTCCATTTACGGTGGCCTTGCATGGTTTCAACATCGATGTCGGGTGATTTGTTGCCTTCCCGGACGTGGGGATTTTTAGGTAATGATTTCAGAGCATTATTCCGATTGTCATCGTGGTCGCCCAGTGTTTGGGCCATCTGGAAGCGGTAAGTGGGTCTCGGTCAGCGGGGATGTATGACTGGAAAGAATCAGAACTCAGTCTGCTATTTTCCAAACGAGCAGTATAAAGTCTATAGTCGCCATCACGAAATGAGGGAAAGCGTAGACCCGATTGTTTTGTATTTACGTGAAGCCGTGTGTGTATGTATAAACCCGACCGAGCACCACTGTTGATAGTAGACATCACGGATGCTCTCTTACAAGAAGGTCCTGTATTGCGGAGGATGCGGAGGATTCCAAAACATTTAGCAGAAACATACTAAATTTCAGCTCCTTTTCTCCTGACGTGTAACTGCTGCAAGTTCATTTAGTCAATAATTCTACACGTTTTTGCACCTGGGAGTGTTGTGTTTAGTTGTTACACTGACATTTCTCTGTAGAAGTATAAAAAAATCTTCAATTAATTTAAGATGGACATGGATCTATTTGTATAATGTACACGGAGTCGATTTGAACAGAAATGTTAATACTCTCAAAATGCGTTTAATGTCTGTGACGTAATGTTACTATTAGGTTAATTTTACTGTTATATTATTTTTATATAAAAATCCGAAACTCTTAATTCCAGTATATTTTCCGGGACAATAATGCGTCTCGATTGATAATTAACAACTCACGCAGACTTAGCTGTCCAATTTACTTTCCCAGTAAGACGCACATTTCATTTTCAGCACCTTGGACAGGGAAACACGTTCCGTGCAAACATGTCTCCCCCTACCGTCCAAGGAAGATATTAACAGTCAAGTCCACCTGTTGGTCCTAAACAAAGATAAAACCGCATTTGGTTGAAATAGCTTTATTTCGTGACATTAAACAGTCATGGTTTCCATATACAGACATGACACATTAGAAGATCATTACATTTTAATTAATTACAAAAACGTCATTTACGTCATTTATTAATATAAAATAAAATTAGTACACTATGTACAATTTACACAAGATTGTATAAAAAATAACTGCACGATCACAAAACGTAAGCAACGAGACATCCATCTCCAAACTTACAGGTGAAGCCGTTTGGTAACGGACAGTTCTACAACATTCTAATTAATACAGCAGAATGTTCTATAAATCGTGTTCGTCCAGGTTCACTTTCATAATTCTTTACCAGTGTAAATTTATTACAATAACTTATTTTTTCATATTACTATAATTGCTAATATTTTACAGTTTTTTCCCCCATTTCCCCAAATTGATTTAACACCAAAGGACACATTTTTAGAAGATATTGGTGACAACGAGTACGTGTTTAAAAGAGACATATTTTAAACCATTTCACACCACGAGTTAACATAGCCACATTAAGAAGTCAGTTATCAAATCGATGCTGACTTTTAAAGCACAAGAAATGCTGTATAAACTGTGAAAAGAAAGGGCGATCAGTGTAGTATCATGGTATTAAACAGAAAAAGTCACTCTGCCGTTACAGTATCGATTACGTACGTACATAATACTGTCACTCTAATTAACGCCTTCATCAAAATATTGTTTCATCTTCAAACTTTCAACTACATGGTTAACAGCAACAAAGCTGGAAGAGGCATTAAAACACTGTAGTGCACTAGATCAATGCTTAGGGTTCATGTAAACCACACCAAGAGTAAAGAACTAGTTAAGGACTTGAACATGAATCCTTCATTACAGACAAACTAGTGTATCACCACTGCGCTCTGACTGGGTACTGCTACACTGCCGATTCAAGCAAGACCCTTTTATACTCTTCTTTCAGCACAGTACAGGACAGCACAGTCCATACAAGTTTCCACTACAACAGCAAAGCACAGAGATTCTGATTGACGTTAGACTACGCCGCAACAAAACCCATGTCAAGTTCGCAAGTCACAGAGTCTTTCAGTCTTTTAACTGTTGAAATGCCAGGTCCTCACCCAACAGAGGTTTTAAATTCAAGGGTTTCCCTACTTTCCACATAAAGGATGGGAATCAGGACTCCCAGTGCACAGCTTGTTTGAATAGCTGTGAATCGGGCATCACCAGGTGCTGAATACTCCACAGGACGCGTCCTTACGCCTTGAATACATGTGCAATACAAGTGAGAAGATAAAACCTGTTTGTTATTGTGCTTCATAAATACACCATTACCAAGAGCACACGGTTCCCAAAACATGGCACGGACTAAATCGCTATGCAATGGGAACCAGCTTTCCATCACCACCCCTTGCTGAATGACTCTGTTGCTGTGACCCTCTCCAGGATGAGCAGATTGAAAAAGGGTGGATGGTTGGGTGAATGAGGGGATGAATGGGTGAACAGGTGGATAAATTTGTGACTGGATGAATAGCTGGTTGGATGAATGGGTGAACAGATGGATGAATGGATGAATGGCCAGGACTACACTAGTTTCAGAGTCAAGAAGACACCTGGCTATTCCAGCATGAGTGTGTTTAAGCTGCCGATTCCACCTTTAAAACACAAAAGGTCCAATGTACAGTGAGAATAACAGAACCCAGCCGGCCTCAAGTACTGAAATGGATCCAGCTGGGACTGAGGATACCTTTTCTCACTGGGACTGGGGTCTCTCGTTCTCCACATTGACTCACTCAGTTTCGGGGTGCTTTACTGCTGACAGTGACAGAGTAGACAGAGAAGAAGTGCAATTTCTCTATAAAACATGGGGACACCCCAGACACAAGACTCATATTCTAAGAGTGACACAACCAGACACCCTCTGCGAATGGAGCAGTTAATGGAGGAGAAGATGGGGAACTCCAGTCTGGGTCCAGGTGGACCAGCATGTCCGCAGTTTTCATTGCAAGTGGACAGAACGTCTGTCGTGAAGAAGAGCATATGATCAAACACAACAGTCTTTTTAGAATGCACAAAGAAAAATATTTTTATTTGATAAATTAACCTTTCCCAAACCGATTCCAGACAACCTGAATTAATCAAACTTCCAAGAAACTATGAGGCCAGAGAGTCACCTTATCGATCAAGTAATATGCAAATAGCCACATATTCTTTTCTATTTAAAAAAAAACACAACTTTCCTTCTTTTAAGGTATAAATGCAACTATAAATGCAAAACGGATCTTTTCTTCACAATGTTAAGTGCTCGAAACCAGCCTGAAGCTGCTCATCACTGGCTTTATTGGAACAATTTAACCAGTTTCTTTAAAGAGACTGGAAAATCTGCAGACACACTGGCCCTCCAGGAGTCTAGTCTTAAGGCGTTGATAATTTAGAGACACCTACAACACCTTCGGGATTGCGGACCCCTGTATGAGATTTAAAGAGTAGCTCAACACAGCTAGCGTAAGGGTCTATTCCTGCTCTAGATTCACAAATCCGATTTAGTGAAGAAGAAGTGAGGCTGAATCCTTAGTCCTGGCTGATATCTTAGGGCTCACGGGTCAAGGTGTCAGAGACTGAGAACAAGCACTCCGATGGCCAGACGTTTGACGTCTACGATTACTGCCATGGAAAATGTTAAGCTTGCAGGGTTTTATAGCCCCTACACCCCAGAGTTCAGACTTGCTTTTTTACAAAAAGGAAGCCAGAAATATTCTTTTTCTTGCAAGAGCGAATTAAAGTAAAGAGGAGTTAAAGACAGTTGCATTTTACCCATTAATATTCAGAATGTGTGAGACATCAAAGATATCCAGGCCCCGAAACACGTGAAATTCAAATAATTTTGAAACTGCAAAATAAGAGCACAACACACAGGGCAACCACTGACAGGATACATCACAATTCATTTTCTGGTTTCGATTTTTAGATAAAGCACGTGACCCTTCAAATAGCAAAAAATAATTAAAACAGGTACTTAAAAAACAACTTTATATCGTTTTCTGTTTTGCCATAATGTTGATCTGCTAACAGTACCCAAAAATACCTATTTACATAACAAAAACTCTTTAAAAAAATCTTCATTATAAAATTTCAGAGTATGTTACATGAGTTATTGAATCCAGTAGGTTTTAATCCTGAAGTGACAACCTTGGTTGTAGCTAATCTGAGGTCGTTGTGTGAATGCGTATACAAGTGTGCATCTCTGCAAAACACTGTGTTTACTGCAATGCCAGTAAGGATTGATTCTGTTCCATCTAGTACTTGTATTCATTGTCACAGTGAGAAAGCAGGGCAAACACCAGGCTTGTCTTTACCGATTATTACAGGCAAAAATAACGCCGACAAAAAAAGACTGAGGACACGATCAGTCGATTTCACCTCTGGCAGAAAAAGAAAACCTCTCAATGCAGAGCACACTGGTTCATGGTTGCTTGTCACTCTGTGCAGACAAGGTTTTAGATGGAATCCTCTTTGTTTTCCTCTCCCCTTTCATTGCAGACAGCAGCTACTACAGGAGTATTCATCACCTGAGACTGAGCGGCATCAAATACATGAATCCCCTGGTTTCAGGAACGCCACAGTATACAGTAAAGATACAGTCTGGAGGGGGCTTTCTGTGGGCACCTAAACTCCACTGGAAGGATGGCAGTGGCAGAGAGGGAACTAAGGGTTTCAATACGAAGTTGCTTTTGCTGACAAGTTTGCTACTTTTCTGTGCAGTTCATTCTACAGTGCACAATACACAAACTGCCCACCACACTCACAGCAAGAGATCTATGCCAGAAAATAACTGCTACAGGTTTCTGAGGTAGCAGAGGATGAGATCACAGAGCAACCAAGGTCTCCTTTTAAAGCATTAGTCTGAGAAATGGCTCACTTTTACTTACTGAAAGCTGATGTTACTGGTGAGGCAGTGATTAGGTACCGTCACCCAGTTGAGATGAAAAGTCCTCACCTGTAGTGGCAACATGAAGTCTGAGCTAGCACCTACTCTCGAGCAGAGGTGAGTGGAAGTCAACAGGCCAAGGACAAAGTAATCCTTCTGGGCTTTTGTTTTTTTAAGGAAAAGCTAGTACAGTTGTACCACAATCACAATCGCCATCCTGCAATCTTTAGGTATCTTAAAAGATGTCAAGCCCAACAGCAGGCATTTTGACTGGATCGGGCAAGAAGGTACTTTGGAAAGCAGTTGTATATTCCAAGAAAAACAATCTCCTGTTTCAGCCAGTTCTCCGTTCCAGATTGGTGGTGGAGACTGAGAATCTGGACAGAGAATCTTCCTCTCACTTCTTAGTTAATTTCAAGCTTAAAAAAAAACGCAGAAGCCCTGGCTACCTCCCTACTGAACCAGAAAGCACAACCTAATTCCAGTCTGAAATGCCACATTGAAAATAAAGCCCGACCTCTTTGCAACCAGCAGCAGGAGCACAATGCAATATGAAAGTTCCTCTTTATTTTTGACGGATTGAGCTTGCTTTTGTGAATTTGTGGTTGCCCTGATTACTTGAGAAACTGAGAGTCCTAAAATGATGAGTGCAGCCAGATCATGGAAGAGCTTTTAGGCCAATCCTACTTTTCTTTCTCCTTCTTGGTTTCGCGGCTTGATTTGAGGAAATCACTGCGCAGCAAACGGTAGAAGAGCACGATGTTCATGGCGGTCATGATGGCCATGCCCACGCTGCCCATGGTGTAGCTGAGCAGAGGCACGTTGTCGCGGTTGATCACCAGCCAGCGTGTCATCCAGGCTAGCGTGCTGATGCGGAACACCATGTAGGTGCCCAGGTTGACCATGCTGTTGAGCCGGTACAGGGTGGTCTTGGACAGGCTGGCCATCAGGAGCATCTGCCGCAGGTGCAGGAAGATGGAGTTGATCTCCACCAGCAGGGCCACCACTGAAAAGCCCACATAGTGGCATGTCAGCACAGAGGTCCCGAAGCACATGATCACCTGCAGGGAGGGACAGCAGTAGACAGACCTGATCAGAAAAGCACAAGAAGTTCTCTGTGCATGCATCCCAAAATAAATACTAGACCTGTCTGTGGGGGGGGCGGCGTGGTGTTGCAGAGATTAGCATTGCTGCCTTACAGTACTGGGACCCTGAGTTCAATTTCTGGGGTGCTGTCTGCGTGGAGTTTGCATGTTCTCCCTGTGTTTGTGTGAGTTTGCTCTGGGTACTATGGTTTCATCCCACAGTCTAAAAACATACTGGTAGGTTAACTGGCTTCTGGGAAGATTGACCCTAGTGAGAGTGTGTGCGCGCATCTGTGTCTGTGGGTCTGCCCTGTAATGGACTGGTGTCCTGTCCAGTGGTGTGTACCCTCCCTTTCCTGCTCCGGCTCCCTTGCGATCCTGAATTGGACGAAGTGGTTAAATAATTCCTGGATGGATGGAAAGACATGATGCCACATCTGTAAAAATACCCCAATCAGTCTTAACCCAACCCCTGCATGACACAGAGGTTTGATTTTCCAGATATCACACAAACGTCATGTGCTGTCATAGAAACTACGAGGCCAGATGGTCACCTTATCTAGCAAGTAATAGGCAAACAGAAATTTACTTTTTCTGTTCTGCAAAATTTTACTTTCTTCCTTTTAAGTTGTTTTAAGGTTTCAACAACTGTAAATGCAATACTTTTCTGTCTCTCTTTCACAATGTTAAGTGCCCAAAACTAAGCATCAGAAGACACTAAAGCCAATGTGTAATAAAGTACTATCCACACTGCAGGAGCAACTATAAAAGTGTATATCAGAGTGAATGGTTCACTTCCATTTAAAAAACCAAAAGTACAAACTTCATTGTACTTCCACAAACAGCGTTAATGTTTAGCGAGTATTGCCCAGTCAGGTTAACAAAGTCTTGTTCTGCATGAGCACGAGGCCTGGTAGTGACACATATAAAACAGTATTGCCCAGTATATGTCCATCATAAAATCTTTAGATGCAATTTTATAAAATGGACTCCCCTCAAACATATCTTACATTTTTTAGTTATTAAAAAAAAGAAAGTAATCTTAATGCTCCTTGAATACAACTGTTTTTACTATTGTCACCTTAAATATTCCTTGAGGAGGCAGGGCAGAGTAACTAACAGGAAAGAAGCCACCTTCTTATACTGACCTGTAAGATGCAGGCACAGGTCCAACCACAGCCTGGCCACAGCTAAGGCAGAAGGCAGCCACTTGCGTTTCAGGAAATGACCCAATCTGCACAGCCCACATCTACAATTTGAAATTCTCATTTTCCTTCAAATGTTTTTGTCGGCTACACCAAAGTAGAGTCTGAACCCCAAAGGAAACTTAACGTTTCAGAAACTGGGCGGCTTTTTGAAAAGACAAGAGCTTGGAAAAAAGGATGACCAAATTGAATACCTATCGAATTAGGAAAGCATTCCAGTTTACATCTACCTCTACAGCTTCTGTTGATCCTGCATTGCATGATGTACTACAGTAATACACGCAGTACAGTCAGGGACAGTAGTTTTCCACCATGATCACATAGAGGACAGATACCATTAACTCTGCACTGACTTTTTGAGTCTGGATGCACAGAGCACTGCTACCATTGCCCAAACCATCACCGAAACCCCACTTACCTAGAGCTCTGGCGGTTTTAACCTCAGGCTCTGCTTGAAGGTCATGGCACTTATCCAGTATCACATAACCACATCACCGAGACTTTCATTAAGCCTTTATAATGCAGTAAAGGCTGAGTGCTTTGTGATGCACTAAAGACCACTTACGCAATTAAGAAAACTAATCTACAAAGAGGAGATCTGGGGGTAATTTCCTTGGTTTATTTGTGCATTCCTTATGGTACTTTGATGTACCATTGGGTCAAGTAGTAATGGTACAGCAGAGTAACTGGGTTATTAAACTGTGATGCTTTAAAGCACAAATAATCATAAGGAGACAAACATTAAGAACCAGAAACGATTCTTCATGACCATATTTCTTTCATCCGCCCATTTTCTAACTTCTTTATCCAGTATATTTTTAATCTGGCTTTTTAAAAAAAGACATACAGACCAACTAACCACTCTCATAAATGCTGGTAGTATGCTAGGAACAAAATGTGTATGCTACACAACGGGCTGTTGTTTATTTAAGACGGCAGCACCATTAAACATCTTAACAACGGTACTGCTTAACGCTGAGCTCGATCGGCGTTTTACAGCCTTAACAGCAGATTCCACTAGGTGGCGCTCCACACAAAGCTACGGTCTCGGAGTCACAGACTGTAGCGCTGTGTAACAACTAGCTTTCATTCAGTGCAGGGCCAGGCACCCCCTGTCACTCCAGTGAGGGGACAGTGGGTGTGAATCTGTCAGCTGCGAAGGAGACACTGTGGCAATGTTCTCATCTGTATTACAGTGTGACACCTAATAATGCTTCAATCGCCAAAGTGCAGGTATCAATGTAGCCTCACAAAGAACATCACCATTTCAAAACTTCACAGAAGCACACGGACTATTCAGTAGACTGCAAGCTAACCTATTAATTATTTATGATTAGGCTATTTTGTTACATCATTTGAAGTCTGCTAATAATGTATTAATGTAAAAATCAATATTGGTGGGTAGTGTTTCAGTAAAAAACTGCTGTATGCTTTTGAATTACTAAGACATTTTACACCAGATTCATAAATCCATTTCATATTGAGATGTTATATAAGCCTGCTTCAGCCTCAGTTCAACTGTCAAGTCAAACGATAGCACAGCTGGAAATTTTGCTAGATGAGGTAGGCATATTTGCCTTTTTTGACATATTTTCCATCTTCAGCGTTCATATTAAGCTTTGATATTGTTATACCACCTGCAATAAGATGGAAGTCATACGAGCCTTCAATCCGGATAGGAGATCCGACCCCGCCTCTCACTGGACCCCTTTCCAGGGCTCTGCTAGCTGTGTGCAAGCAATATGCTCAATCCAGACTGCCACAAGAGCAAGTTTGCAAGGTGCATGACATTGTTTACAAAGCACAACATGTGAAGACACAGGTGGAATCAGTACTTTTTAAACAATAAAGCACTACAGCTTATCAGTGATGACCAATATTGTGGACTTAGTCCTTTTGTCCAAGCAAATAATTGAACTTAAACCTTAAGTGGTTTTTAGTGAAGCCGTCAGGTTTTACAGCAGTCATATAGGCTAGATTAAAAACCCTGCAGTGGAGTAGAAAACAAATTCTAGGTTATCTCCCTGTACGATCTGGTACTTCCATTTAGTTGCCTGTAACAACCAAGCCTTTCTCTGGTACATGAGAATGAGACTCAGGCAAACTTAGATGTCAGGACTGACCCCAGACTATGACCTGGTGACCTCTGGCTGAAGAGGAGTAAACGCTGGGCATGGCTAATGCCTACTGTGAAAGGTAGGTAAAAATGTTAACCCCAGCACAAAACCCTCAACACTAGACACGATAATCCAAGCAACTGGCCAGAGCCAAAGGCAGCGCTAGGAGATTACTGTGATTCAGCATTAGAGGTCTTATTCAAATAATCCCTACTAAACCTGCTTCAGAAGCCACAACAGAGTCAGGTTCTTTTCATTGAGTAATCCTGTTACAAAACAGACTAATCCCAACAGGAACCAAAAAAGCAGGGCCAGCGTTTCCCAGGGTTGATATTCATAGAGGACAGATGTGCAACCATGGATTCTTCCTCATTTTATTCAAGTTTATCATACAATGTTTGCAAAACATATTCACATTTTAAACCTTGGTCTTCTAAAATTTTGTAATTTAATTTGGTTTCTCAATATTTTGCCATGTTTTCACCAGCAAGACCACGTGAACACAGGCTGGTATAGCAGTGCATACTGAAAGTACAATTGGTCCATAAAAGGTCAAGGCAAAATACTATGGAGAATCACAGTGAAAGTGGCTAATAACCAAATCAACTCTACCATACCAGCCTTGTATAAGAGTGGGGGCTTTTACAGAGGAAATGAACAGAACACATCACTCAGTGCCCATTCCAAGAGGCGCAACAGCAGCATGTGATTCATTTAGAGTGTGAAACATGCAGCTTTGATGAAGGCATGAGGCCACTCACATGACTCTTGGGGTAAAGGTCACATGTGGGTCTCTAAATCACCCTCAGCCTCAACAGTGCCTGACTGAACCAATTCGCCTCCGAGTGCCAATTCACACTCGTAGGTAAACAGGAGGTTTCAGGAGCTAATCGTACAGGTGGCGAAAAATGTCAGAAGCTGAAAGTGTCTTTTTTCCAATTCCAATGTGACTGAGCCTTTGGAATCAGAATTGGGGAAACGCACTGGGGAAAAGTTCTACTTGACATCCCTCACAAACAATCATCACCACCCCCTCACCCAGCTGTTATCTCTCATACTGCCTCAAGTACACAAAACTTTACCGAAGGTTAAAACAACAGAAGTAAAAAAGACAGTATTTAACAACTGAACACTGTCCTCAGAATAAACAGGTCCAAACGAAAGAGCGACCAGAGCAGGAATCCGAAATTGATCTGGATCAGAGACAATAACTATTACTATTACTCAGCCCCATTTCAACTCGGCACTCAACAGGGGTTTTTTCTGAGCTCCCCGCTGGCTGAGATCTATCAGCCTTGTGCCCCTAGTTTAGGCAGGGTCCATGCCAGCTTGCCAGTGTGCTGCCAACGAGAGGCGGGTCTTCTCTCAGCCCGCAGGAGGAGGAGCAGAACTCCCCCGCGGTGACACTGACACACTTGGCAAGCTGACGTGTTTTGGCTAGCGCATCCCAAACACAGAGAAAAACAAAAAGAGCCCACAGGCCCTTCTTCCATTTCCTCCTAAAACAAAAAAAAAAACACAAAACAGGTTCTGGCTGCTAAAAGGCGACATATTTATATTAACAGATAATTCTCATGAAAACCTCATTGTAACCTAACCAACCAGTCTAGCAAGAAAAACCCCTCTTTCGTGCATTCAATTTTTCAGCGGGGCT